AATCTTAAAAAAAAGAAAATGGGCAAAGCCTTAAGCAGATATTTCACTAAAGCAGATATATGTACAGCAAATACACAAATGAAAAGATGTTCAATAGGTATTGCTGGTGGGAATGTAAAATGGTGCAGCTACTTCAGGAAACAATTTGGCAGTTTAGCATAAACTTACTGTACAACTCTACAATTTCATCTTTGGGTATTTACCACCTCCTTGACACAAACAACAATGAAAACTCATGTCCACACAAAAATGAAAACATGTTCACAGAAAACTGAACACAAATGTTCTTGGCAGTGTTATTTGTAATAGCTGATAATGATAATAATAATGTAGACAATCCAAATGCCCTTCAGTAGGTAAATGGATAAACAAACTGGCATATCCAGATGATGTGATACTGGTCAGCAATAAAAAGGAATAAGGTGCAATAACATACACCTTGGATGGATCTCAAATACCTTATGCTGAATGATAAAAGCCCACAGGACAGCCCATCCATACTATAGGATTCCCTTAATGTGACATGTGTGAAGTGGCATAATTATAGTGCTGTTGACCACTAGTGGTCGTGATTAGGAGAGGGTATGACCTAAGGGTTAGTTAGAAGTTCTTTGTGAAAGGGAACAGCTCTGTATCAGACTCGGTGGTGGTGGTGGTAACATCAATCAATCTGCACATGTGATAAAATTTCACAAAACTACATGAAGAATATATGTGAAAATTGGTATAATCTGAATAAGGTCTGTAGTTGAGTTAAAAGTATTGTATTAATACTCAAGCACATGGGTGGCTCAATCAGTTAAGCACCTGACTCTTGATTCTGGCTCAGGTCATGATCTCAGGGTCATGAGATCAAGTCCTGCATCAGGCTCTATGCTCAGCTAGGAGTATGCTTGAGATTCCCTCCCTTCCCCTCTGCTCCTACTCCCCTCTCACACACTCTCTTTCAAATAAATAAATAAAATCTTTTTTTTAAAGTATCATATTAGGGACGCCTGGGTGGCTCAGTGTTTGGGCATCTGCCTTCAGCTCAGGCTGTGATCGCAGAGTACCAGGATCATGTCCCTCGTCAGGCTCCCTGCATGGAGCCTGCTTCTCCCTCTGCCTGTGTCTCTGCCTCTCTCTCTCTCTCTCTCTCTCTCTCTCTCTCTCTCTCTCATGAATAAATAAATACAAATCTTTTTTAAAAAACCTGCATACTTCAAACATGTATCAAATTTAAGCACCATGTCCTGCTAGATGCAAAATGGCACACAGAGGCGGGTGTGTGTGTGTGTCAGAACTTAAGGAGTCAGGCTGAGCTGAGTTTGTACTTGGGCTCCCATGTGACTATGTGGACAATGCCTCACCTCTCTATGTCCATTTCCTTATCTATACAATAGGGAAATTATAATCTCAGTCTTTGGTGGGTGGGAATATAAACATTTGACTGCTGGCAGGGAAAGTCAGAATCACAGCTCAGGCCATGTATGGCTGTGTGGACACTGCCACCTCCAGTCACACTCCACAGCCTTTCACAACTGGTTGGCAGGAATCATCTCTAACTGCCAACAACCCCCCATGCTGCACTATTATCTGGACAGTTTCAGGTGTCTGCCTGCTGTGGCAACCCAATCTTCACCCTCCTCTTGCCATCCTTCAGGCAGTCAGCCCAAGTAGATGTCCTACAGTTGATGACACTGTACTTCCCTGTCACTTCCCTAGAAAGACTCCATTATCTCATTACCTGTCCTTATAGTTCCTAAAGTAGAACTAAACTTAAAATCTGCAAAGTAAAAATCTTGAGGTTCAAGAAGGCAACCTCACTAATGCAAATAAAAAACATGAGCTGTTGGGCAGCCCAGGTGGCTCAGCGGTTTAGCGCGGCCTTCAGCCCAGGGTGTGATCCTGGAGACCCGGGATCGGGTCCCACGTCAGGCTCCCTGCATGGAGCCTGCTTCTCCCTCTGCCTTCTTCTCCCTCTGCCTGTGTCTCTGCCTCTTTCTCTCTCCATGTCTGTCACGAATGAATAAAAAAAAAAAAAAAACATGAGCTGTGAATCCAAGCCCAAGAAAGATGAGTAGTTAAAGAGAGGCAATTTCAGGGATGTCTGGGTGGTTCAGTCAGTTGTGCATCTGACTCGATCTCAGCTCAGGTCTTGATCATAGAGTTATGAGTTCAGGCCCCCATATTGCTTTTCCCTCTCCCTCTGCCCCTCCCCCTAGCTCCTGCTCTGCTGTCTCTCTCAATCTCTCTCTCAAATAAAAAAATAAAATCATAAAAAAAGAATGTGTATCTGCCCAGGACAGGTTGGCCAATGTTGAAAGGGTGGCCAATGTTTTATAACCAGGCAGGAGAGGGGAGGTAAGACATGGAGGACAGAGGGGTGGGGGAGAGTTAGGATACAGGAGTCAGGGGAAGTAGACGAGAGGGCAGATTGTCCAATAAGGAAGTCAGGAAGATAGAAAAGTCACAAGTGTAGTGGCCATGGCACTCAGGCCCTAGAAGTACAGCTCAGGCTATTATAGTCTAACCCTTGGGCACTTGGGTGGTTCAAGTCAGTCAGGTGTCTCCGGGTGCAGATCATGATCCCAGAGGCCTGGGACTGAGCCCCAAGTCAGACCCTCTGATCAGCAGGGGAGTCGGCTTCTCCCTCTGCCCCTCCCCGTTTGTGCGCTCTCTCTCTCTCTCTCTCTCTCTCTCAAAAATAGAGAGGAAAAAAAAAGAAAAAGAATAGTCTAACCCTAGAGATACTTCCATCCCCTAGCTTGCAATCTCCATAGGTGAGCCTCTTTAGGACTTCTCATTCCATCCCTGGTTTCAAGTCTACCTGGTCCATCAGTGCTCTTGACTACACTCTAATTGAGTAACCTCATGAGGGTGTGACTAAGTGACATAGGTCACTCAGAGTCCAGCCTAGGGTAAAACAATCCACAAAGAAAGTCCATGGCTACTAACCAGAGGCATGTATTGTGTAGTGGTTGTAGTTACACCGGTGCCTGACTTCTTGGAGAGAACATGAGGAACAGGGTTGCAAGGACTATCTGAGGATATGCAAGGCCAACTTAGGACATGTTAATTGGTGGTGAACACTGCACAGCCAGGGGACTGGAATCAGGATTCCATCAAGAGGATGAAATACAGGGGTGCCTGGGTGGCTTAGTGGTTAAGAGTCTGCCTTCGGCTCAGGGTGTGATCCTGGAGTCCTGGGATTCGGTCCCACATTGGGCTCCCTGTATGGAGCCTGCTTCTCCCTCTGCCTATGTCTCTGCCTCTGTTTCTCTCTGTCTCTCATGAATAAATAAATAAAATCTTTTTAAAAAGAGGATGAGGGCAGCCCGAGTGGCTCAGCAGTTTAGCGCTGCTTTCAGCCCAGGGCCTGATCCTGGAGACCCGGGATCGAGTCCCACGCTGGGCTCACTGCGTGGAGCCTGTTTCTCCCTCTGCCTGTGTCTCTGCCTCTCTCTCTCTCTCTCTGTCTCATGAATGAATAAATAAAATCTTTAAAAAAAAGAGAATGAAATACAGTAGGGGGTCAGGGAGGCACTAAGACCTGAGACAACATAGGTCAGACACCAGGTGTGAAAATAACCCACCTCGGGCAGTCACCAGGGATGCTCTCTTCACCAATTCCAGTGGGGCAAACACACAGAATGTGGAAGCCACTAGAGCTATGGGGACTGATGAGGTTTGTGAGAATCCACCCCAGAAGAGGGGCTGACCTTAAGAGACTACATAGGCCCTGAGGATCATCTGTACAGGAACAGTGATATGCACAAATTGAATGTCCAGGGAAGGTTTCTAAGGCTGAGCCCAGTGGCCCCACAAACAAAAACCTTGTCAGTGCATGAAATGCTGGGCATCTTACACAAAGTGACTGAGATGAACATGACTTGCTGCAAAGATTACAGGCTTCTGATGGCTGATCTCAGCCACTCATGGCCCCTTGGTAGAATGTGTGGTTGTTGCTCACAGAAGTCTGGAGAGGAGGTAGCATGGCCTGGGCCCCAGCTTCACCACCAACAGCAGCTTTCAAGGGGAACATGGCAAGGGCAGAGAAAACGGAGCTCTAGTTGCGGGAGTGAGGAAGCCAGTGGCCTGACCCAGAGAAGCCACCAGTACAAAGTTCTCAAGCATCACTCTGGGGTAGGCTCCTTTGGGACTCGCCTAAGCTCTCTGTTCTTCCTAGGATCCTCAGTACCACATCCTCTAGGATGAGTGCATCTGAAATCAGTGCAAGACATCCAGGAGCTGGATTCTTCTCCTGCCAGCCTCCATCCGGATGTGCCCTGGACCTTTCCCCCTGACATCCTCAACATGTTCATTCTCCTCTGTATGGCCTGACACGGAGCAGGCTACCAGCCTACTGTCCTCTGAGCACCCAGCACCCTAGACCTGCGTGAGTCCAGTGGCCCAGGCACCGAAGTCTCAACACTGATAAAATCCAACTGCTGATCTTCCCCGAAACCCCATCTCCTGACAAGGTCTCCTGGCCGCTGTCACACCAACTCAGGCTGGAGAGTCTTTTCTGAGCTCTGCCTCCTGCTCCGTGGAGCCGACACAGTGTCGAGGGCAACGACTCCCCGGCGGCCGCGGGCACGGACGGGCTCTGACGGAAGTGAGTCACGCCTGAAGGTGTCGCCTCCCTACAGCCTGGGATACTGGGGCTCGAGACACTTGCCGCACTCACGGCGCAGTGTGGCGCCCACTCCAACGCCTTCCCTACTCCGGTTTCTGCGGCCTGAAAGGCCCTGTCAGATTCAGACTTCCACATACCGACGCCGTCCGTGAGCCGGCTGTGGCTCAGGAAAGTCTGGCGCCGGAAGTCCCTCTTCTACCCGCCCGGCTCTCTCGGACACTTTCCTCTCTTGGGCAGTCATTGGCTACTTCTGTGTGAGCGCCCAGCAGCGCCCTCCCCTGTCGCCTTGGCAACTAGTAAGCGGCACCGCGAGGGAAGCTGGGAAATGAGGTCCTAAGGACGCGGGCGCTAGGTTAAAGAAGGCAGCTGGAGGCGGCGGGACTTCCGGCGTTGCCGGAGCGGTGCTCCTCTTGCTGCCGTGGGTGGGCACGAACCTCTCGAGAGCTGCGAGGCGGGCCGACTTCCCTAGGGGCCGCACTGCGGAGGACGCGGGAGGAGATCCTCGTCGCGCGTGTGCACGAGCCGTGACCCCTGGGAATGACTCCCTCTTCCTGAGACTCGGAACGGGCGCTGGCGGGTCCGGGCTTTCCACAGGCGGCTCCCTGGTCCTTGGGCACATCTTACACGCGAGGGGACCTAGCTTCGAAGGTTTCACGTTCGGCCGGAGGTGCCTGCGCTGAGGGCTGGGGACAAGTACGGAGTTCACGGAGTTGGACTTAATTCGGCGCCTGCTGCGGCCATGCTCCGCCCACAGCTTCCGTTGGCCGGGGAGGCGCAGGTGAGTGGAAGGTGCCCCAGGCTCTGACAGTCTCGATCCCCACGAGTGGGTCTGGGTTCGGAATGAGCTCAGGATAAGCGAGGAAGGCTGTGGCAGGTGAAGGGACAGCCTGGGCAAGGCAGAGGTGTAAGAGGGCCAGGGGTCTTGGAGGACCGTGTGTGGTGTGATCAGCTGAGGGTTGAAGCTGCGAATAGGTCTGGGTGGGGAGGTTCAGTACAGAGCCGGGGGATGCCCTTAGCAGTGAGCCATGAAGGAGAGGGGTTGGACTGGGGCAGGACGGGATTGTGGTTGCTCGCTGTGGCATCACTCTGGAGACACCATATGCAGAACGGCCATGAGTTGCCAGTGAGGTGAACTGGTGATATTATGTTGGAGGTGTGGAGCTATGACATGCTGTGGTACAAAGACTTATGTGCATGTTAGGCAGGAGGGCAAACTGGAAGGTCTGGGACCAGGTACTGAGACCTAAGAGAAGGGTGAGCATAGGTTTGGTTGCCTCTGGGAGGTGATCTATGGGACGTAGAGGGAATTGACTGACAGTAGATAGCGTGGGACCTGTGTGTCTGGTTGGGTACACAGATGCCATCTGTCTGGTCACCAGCCTGTTGCTGTGGGCATGACACAGAATCCAGTAGTAACATGGGGAGAGGCACCAATGGAGCTGGGGGCCCTGGGAATCCTCTGAAGTAAGGGTCTTAGGAGAAAGGAAGTAGAAGGTATGTCTCTGGTGAGAATGGGGATTTGGGGCTCAAAGAGAAAGATGAAGTTAGTGAGACATGTGGCAGGACCCCAAGACATTGATCAATGGCTTGGATGGGTGGCGCTGTCTATGTTTTGGTTGTTTTTTCTGCCCACAATTGACTCCTAAGGCTCAGTTGAATCCATCATTACAGGGCCTGGTGACCTTTGAGGATGTGGCTGTGTATTTCTCCCGGGAGGAGTGGGGGCTCCTTAATCTGACCCAGAGGAGCCTGTACCGTGATGTGATGCTAGAGAACTTTGCACTTATTGGCTCGCTGGGTAAGTCTCCCGCACTCTTCCCAAGCAAACTGACCACCTCTGTCTGCCTTTTCCCCCCATAGGAAGCTGTATTGATCCTAAAACCCCACCACAGAGGCTGCTTCTTTCTTAGGTTCCCTGTGCTTGGTGCTAAGAGTACTGGCATTGGGTTGTGTGTTCTTCCTCTGCTTCTTTCTTAGTAGCCTTGCGACCAACCTCAACAGTCGTTGCCCCCATGGCCTCCTGGAGTAGAGTTTGGGGTGCAGATGTTTACAATTTTCCCAACAAATTCCACTCAGCCTTGCCTCTCTCTCTGACTCTGCTGAAGTCATGCCCCTCTGTATACTGGGTTTTGCCATCTTCCTTCACAGGAGATTTTATTCGGCTCTCCCTGGGCCAAACATGAACCATGAATTCAAATCAGTAGATCAGTTTGGGGAGTATTACCATCTTAGTGTCTTTCAGCTCATGAACATGAGATATCTTTCCATTTGTTTTGTTTTCTTTAACTTTTTTCTTTTCCTTTTTTTTAAAAGATTTTATTTATTTATTCATGAGAGACACAGAGAGAGAGAGCCACAGACAGAGAGAGAAGCAGGCAACAGTGTTTTGTAGTTTTCAGTGTACAAGGCTATATTTATTCCTAGGTAGTTTATTCCTTTTAGTGCGATTTTACGTGGAATTGTTTTCTTAATTTCATTTTAGATTGTTTAGTGCTAGTGTATAGAAACAGATTTTTATATACTGATTTTATGTCCTGTAGCCTTGCTTAAACTCATTTATTAGTTCTAATTGTTTTGTTTTGTTTTTTGATGGTCTCCTTGATATATTCCACATATATGACATCATGTCATCTGCAAATACAGTTATTTTCACTTCTTCCTTTGCTTAGCTGACCTGGCTAGAACCTCTAGTACTTACTGAATAGAATTGGTGAGAGCAGACATCCTGTCTTGTTCCCAATCTTACAAGAAAAGCATTTAGTCTTTCCCTAATAAGTATGATGTTAGGTGTAGGTTTTTTGCAGCTGCCTTTTTCAGATGAAGAAGACCCCTTCTTAGTTTGTTGAGTGCATTTATCATGAAAGGTCATTAGTTTTGTTTAGTGATTTCCCATATTTACCGAAATGATTATGTGATTATTTTATCCTCTATTAACATGATATATTACAGTAATTGGTTTTCATATGTTCAACCTTGTATCATTAGGACAAATTGCACTGTCATAGCTTATAACCTTTTTATGTATTTCTGGATTTGGTTTGCTAGTATTTTGTTGAGTTTTGCATCTATATTCATAAGAGTTATCAATGTATCAATGTAGTTTTCTCATATCTTTGCTGAGATTGAGTATGAGGGTAATTTTGGACTCAGTGGATGAGTTGGGAAATGTTCTCTTTTCTTCTGTTTTCTGGAAGAGTGTGTGAGGTATCTGTGCTAATTCTTACATCAATGTTATTCATCAGTGAAATCCCCCAGGCCTAACCTTTATTTTCCCCCTTTGGGGTGGTTTTGTTTTGTTTTGTTTTGTTTTGTGCTTTTTAAAGTATAATCAGACTTTCTGTTGCCTTTTTTTTTTTTAACGATTTAATTAATTTATTTTTCTGAGAGAGAGAAAGAGCATAAGCAAGGGGAGCAGCAGAGAGAGGGAGAAGCTGGCTCCCTGCTGAGCAGGGAGCCCAATGCAGGGCTCCATCCCAGGACCCTGGGATCATGACCTGAACTGAAGGCAGATACTTAACCAATTGAGCCACCTAGTCACCTCTTTCTATTGATTCTTGAGTCAGTTTTGGTAGTTTGTGTCTTTTTTAGGAATTTGTCCATTTTATCTAAATTATCTAATTTGTACGCATATAATACAGTTGTTCATAGTATTTCCTTAAAATCCTATTTTATAATGTAGTGATGTCCCCTTTTTCTTCTTTTTTTTTTAAGGATTTTATTTATTTATTCATGAGAAACACAGAGAGAGAAGCAGAGACATAGGCAGAGGGAGAAGCAGGCTCCTCTGCAAGGAGCCCGATGCGGAACTCGATCCCTGACTGTGGAATTATGCCCAAAGCCGAAGGCAGATGCTCAGTCTCTGAACCACCTAGGTGTCCCTGATATTCCCTTTTTCATTCTTGTTTTTAATAAATTGATTCTTCTATTTTTTTTTGGTCAGTCTACGTAGAGGTTTTTCAATTTTGTTGATCTTTTAAAGATCCTATTTTTGGTTTCATTGATTCCCTTTTTCTGATCTCTATTTCATCTCTGCTCTTTATCATTTCCTTCCTTCTGCTCATTTTGAGTTTAGTTGCTTTTCTTTTTCCTGTTCTTTGAGGACTAAAGTTAGCCTATTAGTTTGAGATCTTTTTATTTTTATTTTTTTAAAGATTTTTATTTATTCATGAGAGACACAGAGAGAGAGGCAGAGACACAGGCAGAGGAAGAAGCAGGCTCCATGAAGGGAGCTCGATGTGGGATTCGAACCCAGGACTCCAGGATCATGCCCTGGGCTGAAGCAGGTGCTAAACCATGGAGCCACCCAGGGATCCCTGAGATTTTTTTTTTAAGATTGTATTTATTTAGGGGATCCCTGGGTGGCGCAGCGGTTTGGCGCCTGCCTTTGGCCCAGGGCGCGATCCTGGAGACCCGGGATCGAATCCCACATCGGGCTCCCGGTGCATGGAGCCTGCTTCTCCCTCTGCCTGTGTCTCTGCCTCTCTCTCTCTCTCTCTCTCTCTCTCTCTCTATCATAAATAAAAATAAAAAAAAAACTAAAAAAGAAAAAAAGATTGTATTTATTTATTCATGAGAGACAGAGACAGACAGAGAGAGAGGCAGAGACACAGGCAGAGGGAGAAGCAGGCTCCATGCAGGGAGCCCGATGTGGGACTCGATCCCAGGTCTCCAGGATCAGGCCCTGGGCTGAAGGCAGCGCTAAACCACTGAGCTACCCTGGCTGCTTCCCTGAGATCTTTTTTAATATGGATGCTGTGACATAATAAGAAATATATATTTTTGTTTTTGTTCCTAATTCCTAGCATAACTCCTCAAACACTTGCAATCTCTGAAGTGATGAGTGTCTTTTGTGTGCTAATGGGATGACTGGTGGCAGGGAGCTCCTAGATAGCTTCACGAGAGGGGGAGTGGCATCCAGAATGACCAGGGCATGATAGGAAGTTGGATTTTGAGCTACTCCCTAACCCTGGCCTCTGGGGAAAGTAGAGGGGCTGGCGACTGAACCAATCACCAGTGTCCAATGATTTAACTGATTATACATAATGAAATCTCCACAGAAACTCATAAATAACAGGATTCAGGGAACTAATGGGTTGCTGGGAAAGTGGTCTTGCTAGAGATCATGGATGCCCTTTACTCTCTGCTTCCTCAACCCCCACTCCCTCTCCACCCTGGCATACTTGACCCTTTGCATCTCTTACATTGGGCTGTTCCAGTTGTATACTTCATAGTAAACTGATAATAGTAAACTCTTTTCCTGAATTCTGTGAGCCATTGTAACAACTGACCTTGACAAGGCATCAGTAAATATGAGAATCCCTGATTTATAGCCAGTTGGTCAGAAGAATGGGCGTCTGGGACTTCCAACTGTTGTCTGAAGTAGGGGCAGTCTTGTGGAACTGAGCTCTTAACCTGTGGGATCTGTTGCTAGGTAGTTAGCATCAGAATTTAATTGAATCCTTGGACATCACATTGCTGTCTGAGAGTTGAAGTAGTGTGGAATGCTCACCTTTCACCTTACCCACATTTGGTGTCAAAAGTGTTTTGAGATGGGTGCCTGGGTGGCTCAGTCAGTGAAGCATCTGCCTTCAGCTTGGGTTGTAATTTCAGGATCCTGGGATGTAGCCCCCCATCAGGCTCCCTGCTGCTTCTCTCTCTCTGCCTACCCCTCCCCCTGCTTGTGCTCTGTCAAATGAATAAAATCTTAAAAAAAAAAAAAAAAGTGGAGTAAAACAGCATGGAATGTTTATAGCTTTGATTTCCCCTCCAAGAACTGCTATGTCCCATTGCTTTTGGTATGCTGTGTTTTCATTTTCATTCATCTCTTTGTAATTTTCTTTGTGGTTATTTAGGACTGTTTTATTTAAATTCCATAAATTTGAGACTTTCCCAAATTTCTTTCTGTTGTTGATTTCTATTTTAATTCCCTTATGATCAGAAAACATATTTTGTGATTTCAGTCCTCTGAAATCTATTGAGACTCATTTTATGCCCCAACAAATGGTCTCTTCTGAAGAATGTTCCATGTGCACGTGAGAATATGTATTCTGCTGTTATGTGGCAGGCTCTGTAGATGTCTCTTAAGTCTAGTTGATTTCTAGTGTTATTCAAGTTCTGTGTATTTGTTTGTTTTCTGTCTAGTGGTTCTGTCCATTACTGAAAGTTAAAAATTGAAGTCTCCAATTATTATTGTCTATTTTTATTTATTTATTTATTTTTATTTATTTATGATAGTCACACACAGAGAGAGAGAGGCAGAGACATAGGCAGAGGGAGAAGCAGGCTCCATGCACCAGGAGCCTGACGTGGGATTCGATCCCGGGTCTCCAGGATTGTGCCCTGGGCCAAAGGCAGGCGCTAAACCGCTGCGCTACCCAAGGATCCCTATTGTCTATTTTTTTACTTCAGTTATGTCAGTTTACCTTCATGTAAGGTTCTTTTAAAATAAATTGTGGCCAAACACAACATGGAGTCTATCCACTTACCAAATTTAATAAATTTTTAAATGCGTGGAGGAGGTTCCTTTTGTAATACTCCATTTCCTTCATGGTTGTCATGATGACATGAGCTTCCTATGGGGTAGGGTGGGGAGGGTAAGCCTTGGCTTGGGTTGGCTCTTACTTTCTCCCTTCTAGGATTTGCACCTTCGAGGTCCCATGTGGTTGCCCAACTGGAGAATGAAGAAGAGCTCTGGGTGCCCAACATGGTGGACTTGACTCTGATCCGCAGAGCAGAGGCTAGAAGGGGTCCTGGTCCCGGTGAGTAAGGCTGGGTGATGCCTTGGTTTCAATAATGGGCTCACACCATGTTGGGGTATTTGTGTGTACTGGCATTTTGGTGCTGAGCCAGTGACCACACACTATTCCTCTCCCTTCTGGACACACTGTGTGATCTTGCCATCCCTACCATGACTCTCAGGACCTGGACAACCTACCTACCCGGACTTTGTGCTAGTCCTCTGGTGATGTGAGATGTGCACCTTAAATAATACTTGAACACCAACTACTCCTACAGTTACAGTTACAGTTTCAGTTGCCTTTTCATTGGAGCAAACACCTCCTCTTCACAGCTTTCACTGTCACCAGGGGCTAGGCCCTGCTTGAAACCATTGTGAGGAGTGACTTGGAGACCCCCAACTCTTCTCCCTGCACTGCTCCCATCTTTCTGTCCTAGACCCTGCTGAGGTCTTTCCTATTCTGTGATCTGGCAGAGCCAGCCCTTTCTCACCCAGACTGTTCCTAGCAACCACCTGGCAATTCTTTGGACTCCTCTTTGGTATGTCTGACATACCAAAGTTTGTGATGAGTTTGTGATGAAGGTGCCTCCTTCCTCTAATCCAGCTATTAGTAACTGGCTTTTCACTGTTTCAGGTTGTCCATGTAGACTGGAGGATGAGGAAGCCCCTCCAGAGCAGATGAAGAGCTATGGAGTCTACCTATCAGAGAAGCCCTTTCTGTGTGGGGAGTCTGGAAGGGGTGTCCCTGCCACCTTAGGTCTCCTTCAACACCAGGCCACCCACAGCAAAGAGAAGCCATACAAGAGCACTGAGCATGGGGAGGCCTTCCAAAACAGCTCCAGTTGCCAGCAGCACCTGGGAGTCCACACCACACAGAAGGCCTTCAAGTGCAGTGACTGTGGGAAAACCTTCTTGAAGGCTTTTGCACTCCTTGACCATCTGATAACTCACCCCACAGACCGACCCTTTAGATGCCCAAAAGGTGAAAATGCCAAGAAGAAACCCACTCATGTTAATTACCAAAAAATTCACACTGGAGAAACATCCCATGTGTGTAATGAGTGCGGAAAGGTCTTCAGTTATCCATCTAAACTGAGGAAGCACCAGAAGGTTCACACGGGCATAAAACCTTTCAAGTGTAATGAGTGTGGCAAAACCTTCAACCGCAAAGATGCACTTGTTCTGCACCAGAGAATTCACACTGGAGAAAGGCCTTATGAGTGCAGCGAATGTGGGAAAGCCTTCAGTGTTCTGTCTACTCTGATTCGGCACCGGAAAGTTCACATTGGAGAAAGGCCTTATGAGTGCAGGGAATGTGGGAAGTTCTTTAAATACAACCATAGCTTCATTCTTCACCAAAGAGTTCACACTGGAGAAAGGCCTTATGAGTGCAAGCAATGTGGGAAAACTTATGTGACCCGCTCTGGCCTGTATCAGCACTGGAAAGTTCACACTGGAGAACGGCCCTATGAGTGCAGCCTGTGTGGGAAGACCTTCACCACCAGGTCCTACCGCAATCGGCACCAGCAATTCCACACTGAAGAGAGATCCTATGAATGTACAGAATGTGGGAAAGCCTTCAAACATAGTTCTACCCTCCTTCAGCACAAGAAAGTCCACAGTGGAGAAAGGCCATAGGGGATGTTGGAAAGACTGTAGACAGAACTAGGCACCTTGTTCAACATGAAAGTCCTTATTCCAGAAAGGAGATTGAAGAGAGTAGCCATTTGAAACCTAACCCTGGCATACCCCAACATGTGTCCTGGAGTGGCAGGTATGTAGGAAGCTCTCAGGAGCCTAGTTGCACTCTGACCTGCCTAGGCTGTTAGCAGTGTTAAGTCACTGCTGGTTTCTGTGATAGAAGCCGTCCCACTTCTACCATGTGGCAGGTGCCCAGGGTGTGTAACAGTACCCTCAGTGCACTCTGGAACAGCAGATCTCCTTGGTTCCCACTCTGTATCGGAGGGAATCATGAGTGGTGGAGCCCATAATGGGCCTCATTCCCTCCCGCCAACTGGTTTAGGTATGTCTGTGACCAAGCTCTGGTCAAGAGTAGCTGAACTATTCCTCCTGTGGGCTTCCAGAGAAGGTTAATCATTTCCACAGACATAGTTGACACTACACATGGTACCTGTCATGGATTTATCCATCCCTAGAACTGTCTCACACTTCCCTGGAATGTATGGTAATAAAAGCTTTATTGTTTAAGCCACCTTTAACGTTGGGGGTTCTGATCACTGTGTGTGGAGAGATTGAGAACAAAACTGGGCTCATGAAGAGAGGGACTGGCTTATCACTTCTTAGCCTTTTGGCTAAGATCAAGTGGAGAAGGACTGGCTTCTGTTGGGAGGAGGGGTCCCTGCCTTTGGTTGCCATAATGGGATAGCAGGATGTTCACCTCATGGCCATTACCCCGGTCCTAAAACAAAGACCCTGAAGTCCTAGGATGTGGCTAGTGTTCCTGGTGTCTGTGCACACCATGGCCTTCATTGTTTTTGCTGCCACTGTTCCAGGGCTCAAGGGAGAGAAGTCACTGAATTAACATATGCGTCCATATCCATTTGTTTTTGTGGGGTCTTTTGATTTTAAAAAGTCTGGAAACTTAATTTCCCAAAAGATCAATAAAACTTGTATCTTATTTGTAGCTGTGTCCCTGGTCCAAAAATTATGCTTCCTGTCAAGAAAATGTTAACTTGAAGGCACATTTGTTTATTTTTAAGATTTTATGTATTTATTTGAGAGGGAGAGCACAAGCCAGGGGGAGAGGCAGAGGAAGAGGAAGAAGCAGACTCCCCACTGAGCAGGGAGCCCAATTTGGGACTCAATGACCTGCATCAAAGCAGACACTTAATCAACCAAGCCACCCAGGTGCCCTTTGGAGGCACGATTAGAGAGAGAGAACTGTGACCTAGACTTGAGGGGCTTTGAGCCACAGTGGTCAGCTAGTACCATGTGTTGGGGTTGGAAACCATGCTGCCTTCTTTAACCTCCACCCCCAATGGTGGGAAAGGTGATGACCTCACAGGGTAGAAACCTGGGCAGGCTTGAACAGTCAGGGGACTTTCTGCCCAGTCTGCTCAGTTTCTCCCCAACACTGTGAGGTATATGCCCTCCCCAAGGCCCAACACAGGCCCTGCTCCCTGGGTATAGGAATGTCTGCCTCCCGATATGGGGTGCGGGGGTTCTGTGTGGGAGGAGAGTTAAAGTCCAGCTGAGTCCAATAGGTCTGAGTTCTGGGTATAGGGTAGACATTAGTCTATTAGAGCTCAATCCTTTGTACCTGTGTGAGTGGCCTTGGTTAGATCTCAGATGGCCCCCAGCACATGGGTGAAGGGTCCTCTGAATCAGCTTTCTGGTTTCCCATTGGGATTCCATATATAGTAGCCAACCTGTTGCAGAAGGGGTGGAGGATAATGTTTTCCTGGTGATGCTGGAACATCTGAAACAAATGGTTCCTGGTGGCTCTGACCCTTTGACTTACTCAGAGTACCAGTTTGGGTGAGTCTCACTCATTCCATCATGCTAGCCCAAGCCTCACTTGGAAAGCCAGCACCAGCAGTGTACCCTTGCAGCTTCTCTCTTGGCTTCCCCCCAAATTGTTCTCTCCTTCAGCTAGGGGTACTCTCCTCTGGAATCCACACAGTAGTTCTATGCCCCTGGGCACTGTTTTGTGTGCCCTTAGTCTATCAGGAATGCCTCTCCATCTTCTCTGCCTCTCTGAATAGTACCCCTTCTATGGTTAAACCACGGTATCATCTCTTCATGAGTCCCCTCACTCCCACATTTGGAGTTACCCTCTCCCTGTTTCTCTGTCCTCCACATTTTGATATCCAGCCATACATCAACCCTCTGCAACCCCGAAGTTTGTCCTCATGATTACATATTCATGTCTGAATTAGAAGGGTACATTTGGGTTTGTTAAAGATTTAGCAACATTCAGGGCTTCACTGATATTGGGACTAGTGCTAGACAGTGTGGTTCTTGATTTTGAACTTCATCTACAGAGGCATAGCACTTAGTTTTTCACTGTGGTATGAGACATGCTTAGTCCCCATGTCAGCAGGGCAGGTGTTAATTTATTTTCTCACAGTCAGCAAGACAATTTGGTGACAGTTATGAATAAATGTGTCTTAATATTAAGCAGGAGAGCAAGGTTGAAATTCTGAATGTTCTCAGTTTGATATCTTGTGTTAAAAGACTCTGAAGGGGATCCCTGGGTGGCTCAGTGGATTGGCGCCTGCCTTTGGCCCAGGGCGCAATCCTGGAGTCCCAGGATCAAGTCCCACGTCGGGCTCCCAGCATGGAGCCTGCTTCTCCCTCCTCCTGTGTCTCTGCCTCTTTCTCTCTGTGTCTATCATAAATAAAAATAAATAAATAAATCTTTAAAAAATAAAAAAAATAATAAAAGACTCTGAACTGTTCACAAGGCCAGACACTGTTTTGCTCTTTAGATGCCCATAAAGGGAATCTTCCTCATCTCTTGGTGAGTGATTGTAGTCTGTTCAGTTACTGTAAGAAAATTTATTTCTTACAGGGCTAGGCCTTGGGAAGTCCAATATCCAGGTATGGGCCAGTTTGGTTCCTTGATGAGAAATGTTTTCCTGGCTTGTAGATGGCCATCTTTTAGCTGTGTCCTCACATAGTGGAAGGAAGGAAGCTCTGATATCTCTTTGCTTCTTCTAAGGATCCTAATCCTGCCATGGAGGACCCACTCTTATCTAAATCTAATTACCTCCCAAACGCCCTATCTCAGTACTTTCAGATAGTGGTATATGACTTCAACATATGAATTTTGGGAGACATTCAGTTCATAACAGTGAGTCTACTTAATATTGGTGATTTTTAAAATCAAGCTCTGAGGACACCTGGGTGGCTTAGTGTTTGAGCATCTGCCTTCAGGGCGTGATCCCAGCATTTGGGGATCAATTACTACATGGGGCTTCCCGCGGAGAGCCTGCTTCTCTCTGCCTCTGTCTCTGTGTCTCTCATAAATTAATAAATAAAATCTTAAAGAAGTCAAGCTCTAGAATTTGATCATTTAGCACCCTAAGCAGACCAATATAGCTTACTTACTGGGACAAATAGCCTAAAGAGAAGTTTGCTTATAACAATGAACAAGTAATTGTCCAGTAATTTCTTGCTCATTCACTCATTCATCAAGTGTTTACTGAGGATGTGTATCAGGCTTGGTTATTGGAGCGAATCAATCTAAAGCTATAATGATGGGGTCAAGGGTGGTCCTGTGACCTGAGGCTAGCTAATGAGAGACCTCTTTAGTCAAAGCACTTGCAGGAAATTGTGAGGAAAAAGGAGATTTCTTTGGCCCCTGGAGTTCATGCACCAGGATTTGGGAGTTAGGGCTGCCAACAGCCATTTTTCCTTGTTTCTTTTCCTCAGAGTTGCATGCCTGGAAACTAAGTCAAAAGAGACAGCTGAATGGAGATAAGAGTCAAGCACTTTTGATCTCACTGAGCCCTACATCCAGCTGTGCCTGAAGCTGTCCTGTGAGCTTTTTGGTTCCATGAATCAATAAATGATTTTATTTGGCAGATCCACTTATATTTAGGTTTAAGTGCCTTGGAAAGGAGAGAATTCTGCCTTACTTATAATCCTTCCCTCAGTGGTTCCCACTTACTGACATTCCCCTCTTCTGCCAAGGGCATCAGAGGGCAGAGCCTCTCAGGGTCCAGTACAGACTTTTAGCACCACACCCACAGACAGATCAAACCTACATCAGGCTTGAGGCTCAGATTCCACCAACATAAAGACTCATTAAGTGTCCATTTGCCTTCTTTGAGTTGCCCTTCCCTGCTCCAGAAGCTCCCAGCAGCATGGCACCTCCCCAAAGAAACTGTCCTCCTTCCCCGGCATCACCACACACAGCCCAGGCCTCCCTCAGAGAAGCATGTCCATCTCATGGTTCCCATTTGGCTTAGAATAAAACAAACTCCTTACTGCAGCTTACAGGGCCTGTACAACCTGGTTCTTGGCCTCATGCCCTCCTTCTGCAGCACAGAGTCTTCTGTACCACTGAGTCTCCTCCTTGCTCTCAAATGCACCAGCTCATTCCTGCCCGAGGCTTCTGCACTGAGGTTACCTCTATCCAGAATTCTCTTCCCCTGGAGTCACCTCCTCTGGGAAGTAGCATTTGTAGCTTTCTGTCATCTTCTGATTTTGTTTCCTTTGGATTCCAGCCACTCTCTGCTGTGGCCCTGTTCTTTGGTCTGTTTGCACATTAAATCTCTACATTGCACATCAGATTGAGATAAAATGTGTCTACCATAGGGTTCAGGCAAGGGTCTGGTACACAAGAGGACCCCAGGGAACTGAATGTTTGTTGAGAGAATATTTGGCTGCCCTGCAGGATTGTGTTGGGCTCAGACCACAGCCCCTTGATCACAGCTGACTCTGGGGAGGGAGGGAGAAAGACTCATAGAAAAAGGGTAATAAATCCTTCTTCCTGCACTCAAGCAAGTTACCTGAGTCTACTTACATATCTATCCCATGCTATGTGAATTGCTGCTGTATGCTGGAGACTGAACTGGCCCAGTAAGGACAGAATACATAGGGGCATGGAGCATGGAGTTGGAGTTTTAGTAGGGAGATACATACTGATTGTTTATGTGCCCCCCCAGATTCATAGGTTAAAACCTAATCCCCAAGGACGCCTGGGTGGCTCAGTGGTTGAGCATACCCTTTGGATCAGGTCCTGGGATCAAGTCCCACATTAGGCTCTGCTTCTCCCTCTGCCTGTGTCTCTGCCTCTCTCTGTGTGTCTCTCATGAATAAAGCAGGGAGCTCCATGCAGGGAGCTCAACGTGGGACTTGAGTGCCCACTCCACTCTCCAACGTGGAGACCCAGGATCACGCCCTGGGTTGAAGGCACTGCTAAAAACCGCTGAGCCACCTAGGCTGCCCAAATACATAAAATCTTAAACAAACAAAAAACCACACACACACACAACTAATCCCCAGTGTGGTGATATTTGGAGATGAGGTCTTTGGAGGTTATTGGATCCTGAGAGTGGAGCCCTCATGAATGAGAGTGCCCTCAGAAAAGAGACCCCTGAGAATGCCTTCCCTCCTCCCAGAAGTGGGTCCTTACGAGACATTGAATCTCCTGGCTCCCCGATCTTGGACTTCCCAGCTTCTAGAACTGCAAGAAATTAATTTTGTTACTTTTAAGCCACCCAATCCAATGGAATTTTATTAGAGCAACCCAAATGCACTAAGACATGGGGAGACAGATATCCCTTATAGGAAACCACACAACTGGCAACCGTGACAAGAGCTATAAAGGGACATCCTTAGTATGTCGATTGAGCTCCTTCTTGATTCTCTGCATTTCAGGACCTTTGAGATTGTCTTCATGTCTGTCTACTGGGGGCTCAAGTGACTTTGTGATTGGTTTTTACCTTCTAGTGAAAGGAAGTTATCATGGCTTTTAGGCATCATGGCTGCTGCTTTTGCATAGCTGTGACTTTATGTTTAGTCTAATATTTAATGATTCTACTTTTTCCAATCCATAGAGTGTATTCAGGTTTCACCAGTTATATATGCACGCACACATGTGTGTAGTTCTATGCAATTCTATCATGTGTGGCTTCATATAACTTATCAACTCAATCAAGATACGGT